GGCAAACGGGAAGTTAACTTTTAAGATTTTTTGTGAGGCCTGATGAATTTGTTTCCAAAATTTCTTAATTTCTTTACACTCCCACCATTGGTGAAAGAAAGTGCCTATTTTCTTTTCACATCTCCAGCATTTGTCTGAAATGTAGTGGGGTTTTTTTTTTTTGAAATTTTGCTATTTTTTCTGGCGTGTAATGCCAGCGATAAAACATTTTGAACCAATTTTCTTTTATGTCACTAGCTACAGTATATTTCATTTTTGTTGTCCAAATTTCTTCCCATTGACTCATCATGATATTATGACCTAGATCTTGAGCCCATTTAATTTGGCATTCTTTCACTTGTTCCGTTTCCATATTCCATATTTGTAATTGTTTATATAATAACTTAATCATTTTTTTGTTTTTTTCCATGACTATATCCCATATTCCCCTTTTTTGTTCAAACCCTAATTTTTCATCTTTTTTTGAAGCCCTCCCGGATTTGGTAGTAATTTAACCATGTCATTTTTGAGTTCAATTTGTGTATTTCCTCATATGATTTCAATATCATCTTTCCTCCTTCATTTACTTTTAATAATTGGTTGTATGTTAGCCAAATTTCTGCCCCTAATTCCTTTTTGTGATTTGCCTCCACTGGTGATATCCAGAGCGGGGTGTGTCTGAAAAATCTAGTTTTATATTTCTCCCATGTTTTGATCAGGGCTGCCCGTATAAAATGGTTTGAGAAGTTTTTTTCCACCTTTCTTCGATCGTACCATAGATAGCTATGCCATCCTGCTCTTAAATCGTGGCCCTCCAAGGTTAATATATGTTTATTTTCAAGTGTTGCCCAGTCTTTGATGGCTACTAGATTGCAAGCTTCATAGTAACTTCTCAAATCCGGTAGGCCCAAGCCCCCTCGCTTTATATTATCCGTTAGGATTCTTTGACTGATCCTTGGTTTTTTGTTTGCCCATCAGAATTTGGAGATGTCTGCACTCCATTTTTTAAAGAGAAAATTATTCCTAATAACTGGGATAGTTTGAAAGAGGGTTTAACCTTTTGCGCCACCGCGGCTCTGAGAGCAGAAGTTCATGGCAAGGTACTGTGCTGTGTTGGGTTTTATGTACATGAATAGGGTTTTTAATAGTTTTAACTGCTTTTAATAATTTCCTTGCTTAACCCTATTTTAGTGCTTGTATGTTTTTTAGGTTTTAAATGGTATGTTGCATTGAGGATCAGCAGTTCAAATCTGCAGGTTGGGGTGAGCACCTGCTGTTAGCCCCAGCTTGCCTGTGTTTGTGTTTGTATATATGCTGTATGCACCGGGATTGTGGCGCAGCTGGCTGAGTGTCAGCTGCATTAAGATCACTCTGACCAAAAGGTCATGAGTTCAAAGCCAGCCCGGGTTGGAGTGGGTTTCCAACCAACTGTGTGTAGCCTGTTATCGACCTTTGCAACCTGAAAGACAGTTGCATCTGTCAAGTAGGAAAATTAGGTACCACCTTAAAGTGTGGGGAGGCTAAATTAACTAATTTATAAGGCCATAAAGAAGACTCCAGCAAAGCACTCCAGCAAAAGCATGCGGGGAATGCAGAAGTACTTCATCAGCGTTGCAGATGGACGATGAAAGCGACAGCTCCCCTGGCTGTCAGAAAAAGTTAAATAGCCTCTGTCTATGTCTGTATGCATTGTATGTCAAATTGGCATTGAATGTTTGCCATATATGTGTACAATGTAATCCGCCCTGAGTCCCCTGCGGGGTGAGAAGGGCGGAATATAAAAGCTGTAAATAAATCAATAAATAAAATCCATTCTGAGTCCCCTCAGGGAGATAGGGTGGAATATAAATAAAGTTTTGTTATTCTTATTCTTATTCTTATTATTACTATTATTATTAATTCTTTTCCACCTTTCCAAAAACAATTTTAAAATACATATAAATATGAATATAAAAACTTAAAACAATTAAATATTTGTATCAGGGGTATAAAAGATAAAATAAGATATACAATGTGATATTGTCCACATCTGGGCTGCTATTTGAGCCTGAGCCTGCCTCTCGTTGAAGGCATCAGGTTGCCTTATATCACTTTGGAGCCGAGCTATCGCTCGGCTGGTAAATCACCACCAGCAGCAATAAGACCTACCAACCAAAAGGTTGCCAGTTTGAAGCCCGGATCGGTGTAAGTACCCGACTGTCAGCCCAGCTCATTGTTTACTGACCATTTAGAAAACACTCAGTTCTTGTGGGTTTTTTCGGGCTATATGGCCATGTTCTAGAGGCATTTCTCCTGACGTTTCGCCTGCATCTATGGCAAGCATCCTCAGAGGTGAGGATTTAGAAAACAACTTAGAACTGTAAGTAGAGAAATTAGGTACCACTAAAACATGGGGAAGGTATTTTGCAACATATTTTGCGAATAGAGGGGTAGCATGACTTCCTGTTGTGGCTTAGATGTTCTGTGATGATGATGATGATGGGATTCAGATTCCTGGCTCTTTTTCTGTGCTCAGATCTCTGGGTCTGTGGCTCCCACAGACAGCACAGACAGTGCAGAGTCAGTGCAGAGTCAACATCAACACAGCGGTTCTCAGGAGAAAAGAATTTTAAAGAAGGAGATAGCGAACAGGTGGGGAGGCATTTGCCTCCTTCCCATGCTGATACTGAAAGTACTGAAAGCCTTGATAGTGACCTGACCCGGCAAGCTCGTCTTGATTTGCAGGTCAGGCAGAGTTCTCGCCTGGCCAGCAGACGAGAGGCCAGCTCAGTGAAAGGTCATCGCAATGATTTCATGTAATGTTTTCATGTTAGAAAGGTATTTAGGCTTCTTGCAAACCAAGGGAAAGCGTCAGTTCAACGTAGCTTATTAGCCTTAAAGCTTCATGGAATAACCTTAGCCTGGAAAGCAGTATACTTGGGATTTCTTGCATTGTGATTCATGGGGCAATTGTTTCATTGCTTGTACCTGGGACTCTGGTTTGAACTTTGCCAATAGGGTTGTGTCTCCTGTTTTTACCTGAAGATCTTTGCAACTATATTCTGCATTTAACCTTAATCTTTGGAACTTTGCAATGCTTATTCTTTATTTTGACTTGGATTTTTTCCTCAATAAACTATAAAACTACAGCTCTTGTGTACTGGTGGTTTGGAAGCAAGGTGAAGCTTACTCTGAGTTGCAACACTTCCCTGGATCTAGAAACTAGACTCTTGTTTATGCAGGCCAAAATCCCATTGGCTTTTTAAACTACTGCATAATATTGTTGGCTCATGTGTAACTTGTTGTCCATGAGAACTCCAAACAGAAAGACCAGAAATGCCAAGGCTCTTCATCATAGAGGATGGAGCGACAGCACCCTCCTGTGGCTGGATTTGAGCATAACCTCCAAGGCACCGAAAAGCTAGATGTCGATACAACATACCTCCTTTCTGTCTGTTCTGTCCTTGTCTGTCACAACGATATTGAATGTTTACCATGTGTAGGTACATGGTAATCACTGTGAGTCCCGTTGGGGAGATAGGGCAGAATATAAATAAAGTGTTATTGCTGATATTGTTTACGTGTTCCACCAGCATTTTCCCTTGGATTGCAATTAGTCGTGGCAATCCATTTATGCTGATTATTATTGTCTTTTGAAAAATTGCCTTGGGCCATGTTAAGCCTGAGAGGGTGAAGACTCTTAAGACCCACCAAGTAGCACTAAGATGAGGTTGGGTCAATGCAACATGAGGGCAAGTTTGGTGAGAGCTTTCCATATTTGTGCATGTGCCTTCACTGACTTATGGCAACTTAGGGTTTCCCTAGGTAGGAAATTATTATTATTATTATTATTATTATTATTATTATTATTATTATTATTATACTTTATTTGTACCCCGCCAGCATCTCCCGAAGGACTCAATGCGGCTTACAAAGGCCAAGGCCTCAATACACAACATAACAATACACTTAACGCAAATTAAAAACAATTAAAGCAATATTAAACAACAAAGAACCACAAGCAATAAACAATACATCAAACAAGATAAAAACTGGGCTGGGCCAGAGTAAAGGGTACAGGATTAAAAAGTGCTGATGTGACAGGTGATATGTAAGGATTATAGAGCAAGTGCAATGTGCAGTGTGCGGCAGTCTTAATTCTAATAAAGTGCGTCTGGGACTTGGTAGTGGAGATTTCCTATTCTGGGAAGGCACATCGGAACAGCCAGGTCTTCAAGTTCTTTCTGAAGACTGCCAATGTAGGGGCCTGTCTAAGATCCTTGGGGAGAGTGTTCCAGAGACGGGGGGCCACCACGGAAAAGGCCGTGTCTCGTGTCCCCACCAAACGTGCTTGCGACGCCGGCGGGACCACGAGCAGGGCCTCTCCAGATGAGTGTAATGAACGTGTGGGTTCGTAGATGGAGATGCGGTCACGCAGGTAGGCGGGTCCCAAACCGTTCAGGGCTTTGTAGGTAAGCACCTGCACCTTGAATTGGGCTCGGAAGATAAACGGCAGCCAGTGGAGCTCCTTGAACAGGAGGGTTGACCTCTCTCTGTAAGGAGCACCAGTTAACATCGCTGCTCGTTGGACAAGTTGGAATTTCTGAGCCGTTTTCAAGGGCAGCCCCACGTAGAGCACATTACAGTAATCCAACCTAGAGGTGACCAAGGCATGGACCACTCCGGCCAGATCAGCCTTCACGAGGTACGGTCGCAGTTGGCGCACAAGTCTTAGTTGTGCAAAAGCCCTCCCAGACACCGCCAACGCCTGAGCCCCAAACGTGAGCGATGAATCCAGGAGGACTCCCAAACTGCGGACCTGTGGTTTCAGGGGGAGTGTAACCCCTTCCAACACAGGTTGCCACTCTATACCCCGGTCGGGTTTACGATCAGAGGTGGTCTTGCCTGTTTCATCCTCTGAAATATAGCCTCCAGCATCTTGTCCTTCTTGGTGGCCTCCCATCAAAGTCCTAACCAGGGATGTCCCTGCTTAGCTTCCAAGACCACACATCAGACACAAGGTTGGATGTTACAGAGCAAGAGCAAGCCAGGATGTGCTGGCACAGGGCTTTTATTTGCCGTTTCTGGGCACCACGGAGCTGTTCACGATCCAGAGCGGGGCCTTCCCGTATCGGAAGCCGTCTTCTCCCGCCACCGTCATGGTGGGCCTCATTTCGATCAGGCACGACATGGTGAGCGGCTCCCACTGGGCCGAGGGGAAAGCAAAGCCTTGAATGCAGGGAAGTGGCTCCTTCTGCAGGTCTGGGAAGTAGAAAAGAAGCAGCAAGATCAGAGAAAATAGCTTGGGTTCATTATGAGGAATATAGGAAGATGTCTTATATCAGTGGTTCTCAACCTTCCTAATGCCACGACCCCTTAGTACAGGTTCCCACGTTGTGGTGACCCCCAACCTTAATGTTATTTTCATTGCTACTTCTTTAATTTTGCTACTGTTGTGAATCGTAATATAAATATCTGATATGCAGGATGTATTTTCATTCACTGGACCAAATTTGGCACAAATACCCGAAATGTCCAAATTTGAATACTGGTGGGGTTGGAGGGGATTGATTTTGTCATTTGGGAATGCTGGAGTTGCTGGGATTTATAGTTCACCTTAAATCAAAGAGCCTTCTGAACTCCATCAATGATGGAACTGAATCAAACATGGCACACAGAATTCCCATGACCAAGAGAAAATATTGGGAAGGTCTGGTGGACATTGACCTTGAGTTTTTGGAGTTGTAGTTCACCTATATCCAGACTGTGGACTCAAGCAATGATGGATCTGGATCAAACTTGGCACAAATACTCAATATGCCCAAATGTGAACACTGGTAGAGTTTGGAGAAAATAGACCTTGCCATTTGGGAGTTGTAGTTGTTGGGATTTATAGTTCACCCACAATGAAATAGCATTCTGAACCCCACCAACGATAGAATTGGACCAAATTTTCCACACAGAACCCCCATGAACAAAGAGAAAATACTATGTTTTCTGATGGTCTTTGGTGACCCCTCTGACACCCCCTCGCGACCCCCTCGGGGGTCCCGACCCCCAGGTTGAGAAACACTGTCTTATATAGTACTAGCTTATTTGCCCGGGGGTCAGAAAAATTGCTGCCCTCCTGCTCTCATCCCTTCTTTTTCTCTTGCTTTCCCTCCCCTCATACCTTTTCCCCTTCCCTTTCTTCCTCCCCTCCTTTTTCTTCCTTCCCCCTTCTTTGCCTTGACTTTCTTTTTCTCTTTCTTTCCTTCTTTCCTCTCTTCCCCTCATACACATGCCACCTTTCTTTCCCAGTGACATCGCAGAGGGCCACTTTCTCTAGTCACAGCCTTTGTGGTACAGACTGACATAGGCCCCTTCTACACTGTCATATAATCCAGATTATCAAAGCAGATAATCCACATTATTTACTTTGAACTTGATTATATGAGTCCATACGGCAATATGGGAGCCCCCGGTAGCACAGTGGGTTAAACCACTGAGCTGCTAAACTTGTTGACCAAAAGGTCACAGGTTCGAATCCAGGGAGCAGGGTGAGCTCCCACTGTCAGCCCCAGCTTCTATAGTAAAATCCAAGAACCGGAAATCTGTACGTAACTGCAGATAATCCGTAATCCTGAAGAAGAGAAGGCTGAGAGGAGATATGATAGCCATGTATAAATATGTGAGAGGAAGCCACAGGGATGAGGAGGGAGCAAGCTTGTTTTCTGCTTCCTTGGAGACTAGGACGCAATGGAACAATGGCTTCAAACTGCAGGAAAGGAGATTCCATCTGAACATGAGGAAGAACTTCCTGACTGTGAGAGCCGTTCAGCAGTGGAACTCTCTGCCCCGGTGTGTGATGGAGGCTCCTTCTTTGGAAGCTTTTAAGCAGAGGCTGGATGGCCATTTGTCAGGGGTGATTTGAATGCAATATTCCTGCTTCTTGGCAGGGGGTTGGACTGGATGGCCCATGAGGTCTCTTCCAACTCTTTGATTCTATGATTCTATGATCAATAATAAACAGGAAGCCGCCAAGAGTTGTTTGGCAGAGAGAGAGTGGCCCTGTGTGCTTTTGGTTCAGAGCAAGCACAGAGGCATGCATGTTACAAGAGGCTGCTTGCGACTGAAGATAAGAGGGTAACTTCAGTGTTACCATTTTTGGGGACCTCTCATGGTATGTAATTAAACCACTGATCCACCTAATTGGGTTGCCATGTTAACAAATGGAGAAGACTTGTGTCTTTAAGGGTTGTGTAGAAGAGGGAACATCAGAAGGTGTGTCTTTGGTACTTGGTTGTGAGGTGAGCCAGATCTGCTGCACTTCCCTTCCCTAAGGAATGGCAACTTTCTCTGGTTTCAGAGGGTTTTTTCTTGCTGGAGAAATAGCTTTAAGTCTATCTGTTTGCCTCTATTGGGGTCACACAAAAATATTGTGTCGCCACCTAGTGACTGTTTTAAGCATTTACATGCATTCAGAAGGGGAAAAATGGAGAGCAGATAGTATATTCTGCCCCTTGAGGCTGCAAACCAAGAACTTGGGAAGAAAGAAAAGGAGAGAAGGCATTATTTCTAGAAATCTCTATATTCTCCAGTACGAATGGAAGAAATTAACCACAGCATCGCACTGGAGGACCACAGTTGTACAGTGTTGATTTTTGTACCTTTCTGTGTCCAAAGAATGGTCCCTATCATGGATTCAGGAACCTTTCCCCCAAAGGAAACCTTCCCTTCCTCCCTTGTGTTAGAGATAATTTCTTACCGGGTCTCATGTGAGTCCGCAAGTTGGGGTACAGTCTCTGCAGGCGTTTCTCGGCGTAATTCTTTGAAAACCGAGCTTCGGTCTTGAAATCGTTGCGGGTGGCAAACCTGGGACATGATAGGTTTGTTCATCAGGAATACATTTGCATCAATTATAAGTTTTTTAGAGCCTGTCCTTTCATTACAATCCCATCCTGACTATTGCAATGAGGGATACAGTGTTCCCTCACTTATCGTAATAAGTGAAATACCACAAAGTAGGGATGCTCCCTTCCCCCCCCCCCCCCCCATCTCTCTCTCCCACTTCGCCTTCTCTTTCCTCTCCTCTTTCTCCTCCCTTCTTCCCTCCCTCGGGCACCCATGCCACCATTCCTTGGCAAGAGGGACACTTTCACCTGCATGGCCCTCCTTCTCCCCACCTTGCCTCCCTCCCTCCGCCGCTTTCCCTCCTGAAGCTGTGGGTATTGGAGCTCAGCCTGTGATTGTGTTTCAGGATCAGGGTGCTTTGGATGTGGGAAGTGATGTCAATGAGTTTCAAGATGGCAATGGTTTGATCAATAATATTGATGCAGAGAATGAACAGGAGATCCCTGTTCAAAGTGTAGTTTCCCATGAGAATATCCCTGAAGGTTGTGGGGATGATGGTCTACTCCCTGAATTGCTACCAGAGAGTTCCCAGGATTTGGAACTTGTAAACAACTCTGCACCTGCAGAAGTTAATGAGGAAATAGATAGACGGCGGGAGATTAGTCAAAACAGACAATCCGAACAGTAGCTTCGGCGTTCTGCCAGGCTCTGACAGAAAAAGATAAGAGATTCTCAATTAAAGTGAAACCAGTTTCTGAGTACTTGGGATAGCTTAACGAGCTTAATGAACTACCAAGCTTGCAAACTTTGTGTTTTTTTATCGGTTTGTTTGTTTTGTTCTGTTAGAAATGTAATACAATGGTCTGGTTGCCCCTGACACAATAAATAAATAAACGAGGGGATAAAAGTTCCAAGTACGGGAAATGTAGCCAGATGAAGCATCGTTTGGAATCAAGTTATGTTCTCATCCTTGTTTCATGGAAGCCTAGCTTGGAAGTATTTGTTTCATGGTTTTGATTCTTGGATTTTATGACTACATACTCATGCCTTGGATTAATGTTTCCTGGTTTTCCGGATTATAATAGAGAAGTGTGGACTTTGTTTTCATGGACTTTGCTGAACTTTATCCTAGACTATTTTGTTCCTGCTTATCTTCCTACCTAATTGGATTTACCTATTTCTTTGAAGTGTTTTTTTACTTTGCTGCTTTTTAATTATTTTCAATAAAAGGATTGTTTTCCTATTCAACATGTTTAAAGTCAGAGGGCTTTTCCTGTCCTGGAGTGCAACGGTGGGAGAAAGAAGAGGAGGAAGAAGATGATGCTGGGGATGGGGAGGAAACTGAGGGAGCCACCAGAGCCGCTGCCCCTGGGCCAAGCGGGGGGAAAAAGTCTGGAGCTAACAACTGGCCAGGCTGCACTTGGCTGCCACCGGAGGAGCACGACCCTAGCAAGAGGGACAATTCTTTCCTCCGCTGCTTTCCCTCTTCTTGTCCATCTCACTTGGGTTGTGCTGCTTCTGCAGGAGCTGCCGTGCAGGGAAAACCGTGAAACAGCTAGTCCACGGTAAGTGAACCGCGAAGGAGTGAGGGAACACTGTACATGAAACCTCATTTGAAGAGTGTCTTGGTTATGGGATAGGCCATTGGTTTAATGTTTTGGAAGACACCTTGGGTGCCATCCTGGGAGAAATACATCATGATAGATAGATAGATAGATAGATAGATAGATAGATAGATAGATAGATAGATAGATAGATAGGATGTCTGTCTGTCTGTCTGTCTGTCTGTCTATCTAACAGGGTTACCAATTTGGAGACAGGATGGGATTCCTGTAACATTAGTCCTGAACAGAGTAAATTTGTCCATGCCTTCCTCTAAGACTAAGAAAGGATGACATGCCCAGACTTATAGGACTTTATCATACAAGATGAATTAAGTACAAATATAGCAGGATAATTGGTTGGGATTTATTCACAACTAGCCATCCCCTGCCATGCATTGCTGTGGCCCAGTCTGTTGATCTTGAAAATAAAGTAATGAGAAAGTGTTGGTTTCTAATATATGTAATATCTTTATGCTTGTGGGTCAACAGTATTTCTTGCTGTTTCTTTGTCAGTGTTGATGTGGAGATATGTTACATGTATCATGTAACATATCATTGTCCTTCTTTAGGGGTCCTTTCAAATCTATGCTACTATATCTGTGTGTGTGGGAATCATATCTATCTATCTATCTATCTATATCTATGGCTGGATGGCTCTCTGTCAGGAGGACTTTGATTACGATTTCTTGGCCTGGTAAAGGGAGTTGGACTGGATGGCCTTAAGTATTTTCTGTTGGTCATGGGGGTTCTGTGTGGGAAGTTTGCCCCAATTCTGTCGTTCGTGGGGTTCAGAATGCTCTTTGATTGTAGGTGAACTTTGAATCCCAGCAACTACAACTCCCAAATGTCAAGATTCTATTTTCCCAAAACTCCACCAGTGTTCACATTTGGACATAGTGAGTATTCTTGTAGAGTTTGATCCAGATCCATCATTTTTTGAGTCCACAGTGATCTCTGGGTGTAGGTGAACTACAACTCCAAAACCAAAGGACACTGCCCACCAAACCCTTCTAGTATTTCCTGTTGGTCATGGGAGAACTGTGTGCCAAGTTTGGTTCAATTCCATCGTTGGTGGGGTTCAGAATGTTCTTTTATTGTAGGTGAATTATAAATCCCAGCAACCACAACTCCCAAATGACAACATCAATTTTTTTGAGTGAAAGACATACATAAGGTTGTTAGGTGCCTTGTGTCCAAGTTTGGTGTCAATTCGTCCAGTGGTTTTTGAGTTCTGTTAATCCCACAAACGAACATTACATTTTTATTTATATAGATGCTATGTGTGTCCCGTAACTGTATTGCACTTGAATTAAGATTGGATTGTCTCTTTTCATTGACAACAAAAACCTGTCAATGATCCCAGTATCGCTGTTGTTCTGCCACTACTTCTTGCGCGATAATGTCCTTCTGCCGCAGTCCTGATATTGCAAAGCAGAGGAATGTACTGCAAGAACATTGCAATTGCATGACTGCGTAGTTGTGACATAATAGTGGGAAATGACACAGCATGCCTTGTAAGAGGTGGAGTAAATATATGTAAGAAATGAGGGTGTGCCAAGGATTGGTTGTGGAAATGCATCTCAACAAGAAACCAACAGAGGGCAGCTACAACCAGTTATGAAACTTATTTCCGATAACGGCATGTTCCCAATTGCGTAAACAATGTAATTGCCACCAAACTACACACTGGTGTCCATAGTCCAGTGCTCACATTACTAGATCACACTGTCACATCAAAAGAGATATTTATCTTTTATTTATGCTTTTTTCAATGGCATTTAAACGATCCTGCCTTCTACTACAAGAGAAGCTATTACCTCTTGTTTGGTGTCCTTAAGTAGGTTATTTTTTTTATCTTGAGAGTCAAACAGGGGAAAATAAATGCATGTCTTATGCCATAGCTTTACCTGAATGGAGCTGGTTTGTGCAGCTGTTTTACTACTGGACCCACGAGTTGCTCCGGTGGCACTTTCACTGGAGGAAGGTAGTGTGGCTCACGGGTGCTTACAGTCTATGAAAAGGAAGAGAGACCAGAGAAGGAGATCAAAAGATAGATATAGAATCGGGCAGGTTGAAAGGGAAGTCTGAAGGGTGTCGTGATAGTCATTTGTAACAATATGCAAGGCTGGAAGGGTACATATACACTGTGCAGTTAATGTAGTTTGATACCACTTTAATTGCCATGGCTCCGTGCTGCAGAATCATGGGAGTTGCAGTTTGATGATATTCCAGAACACTTTGACAGAAAAGGGGAAAGCCCTTGTAAAACTACAACTCCCAAGATTCCACAGCACTCTAAAGAAGCCTCAACCTGCATTACCTCTACAGTGTAGATCAGCATTTCTCAACCTGGGGGTCGGGACCCTTGAGGGGGTCATGAGGAGTGTCAGAGGGATCACCAAAGACCATCAGAAAACACAGTATTTTCTGTTGGTGATGGGGGTTCTGTATGGGAAGTTTGGCCCAATTCTATCATTTGGCCCAATTCTATCATTGATAGGGTTCAGAATGCTCTTTGATTGTAGGTGAACTATAAATCCCAGAAATTGGCTCACTTCTATCGTTGGTAGGGTTCAGAATGCTCTTTGATTGTTGGTGAACTATAAATCCCAGCAATTGGCTCAATTCTATCATTGGTAAGGTTCAGAATGCTCTTTGATTGTAGGTGAACTATAAATCCCAGCAATTGGCTCAATTCTATCGTTGGTAGGGTTCAGAATGCTCTATGATTGTAGGTGAACTAAAAATCCCAGCAATTTGCCCAATTCTATCATTGGTAGGGTTTAGAATGCTCTTTGATTGTAGGTGAACTATAAATCCCAGCAATTGGCTCAATTCTATCGTTGGTAGGGTTCAGAATGCTCTTTGGTGGTAGGTAAACTATAAATCCCAGCAACGAAAGCTCCCAAATGTCAAGGTCTATTTTCCCTAACCTCCACTACTGCTTACATTACAGCGCCGGTGCCGCTGCCGTACCCCTCCCTTACATCCGGGAGGGGAGAGGAAGAAGATCCAACAAACTGCGGCCTATCCGGCCCCTCAGTCCATCACTGCCCCCCCTTTGCCATCCGGGAGGGTGAAGTCCGGGAAGCCGTTCATCAAGCTTTGCACCGGAAAGGAGCTGCAGAACTCCTCAGGCTTGCCTGAAAGCAGGATTTTGCCGCCGCCATCTGACTCTTTTTCTCATCTGTCTTTTTTTTTTTTTCCTACTTTTCCTTTGCCTAGTTGTTATTTTAGTTACTTAATTATAGTTATAGTTAGCTGTATGTTATATGTTTTACTGCTGATTGTGTTAGGAGGTGCGGATTGTGTTAGGAGTGTGTAAGATTGGTTTAGCTGGTTGATTGAAACTGGGAGAATGGAGAGAATATGAGATCTGGGAACGCTTGGAGAAGCGATTGATTGTGACGTAAGTTGGATGTGTGTGAGTATCGGTAAGAGTGGTTTTGGGTTTTGTGGTGAGAGAGAGTATTATCTTGACATAGGAATGGCTGAAGCGGAGTCTTATGCGAAGAATGACATTTTGCACTTTTACGACCTCCTGAGGGACTCGTTCAACCATGTGTTGTTCCAACTCAGGTTTTTGAACGAGAAAATGGACCATCTCCTTAGAGGCTTTGCCTCTTTCTCAGGAATTTCTGTGCAATCCAATCCTCCAAAGACTGATAACCTTCTCTGTGCAGACTTAGCCAAGGACTTGTGCCGAAATGGGGAGAAAGGCACTTTAGATCATGCGGAACATAGGGTGGAAGGAGGGAGGGAGGGATTAATGATGAGTCATCTGAGGGAAAGGGAGAACCTCTGGGCGTACATAGGAATGAAAACATCTGGGAGTGGCAGCGGACTGTGCTGGCTACCCAGAGGACGGCCAACAACACAACATCTGGCCTTATGGATCAGCCCACCGCACCTTGCACTCAGGATCAACATCTCCTCACGGACAATTTTGCGGTGGACATTGCAGATCTAATGGTAAACAGAGGCAGATGGACCTCCAAGAGGGCAGTTTGTAATTCCTTGGCCCAAATCCTGGGGAAAAGATCACAGGATATAAGACTAAAAGCCATAGTGTGGTTGTGGAGGGATTATCAATCTTTTGACCGCTCCACCCGTCTTCAAATTTCACCAGAAGACAGCACTTGGCTTGGTGATCTAATGGCTAAACAACCTGGCCTAAAGAAATGGGGCATCACCATTAGAAGGGTAGTTGTGGACCCTCATATACGCCCCTTGTTTGATTCCGGGGTTTCTTTTCGCCATGTTCCATCTGGCCCCCGTCGCGAACTCCACAACTAGCTCCCCAGTTAGGGCCCCCCCTCCTGGTTCGTACAACTTTGAGACCCCATCTGCCCCGGTCGCCCCCACTCAGCCAGCCACACTTCTCCGCTCGAGAACGCTCCCTTTATTCAGCCCACTCAGCTCCCTTGATGTCTCTTTATCTACCTCAACATCAGAATCACCCCTACCAAACGCCCAAGGGAGATTATTCCCCAGCCCGACTTCCTCCTCTGAGAGCTGACTAGATCCTGGCCATGTGGGGGGGGGGGGAAGGTTCCGGAGGAAGGGGGTGCTATCCGAGTCGTGTGGGGGAGGAGATTTGCGGGCCACAAACATCCCAGGGAGAAGCGCAACAGAGTCTTTGCGACCCTGGAAAAGGTGGGTAGTGGTAGGCTCCTTGGCAGCCCCCTTGGTCTCAAGGTCCTGTTGATCAATGCCAGATCCGTTAATGGTAAGACCGCGGCCATCCAGGACTTGATCCTGGATGAGAGGGCGGATCTGGCATGCATTACCGAGACCTGGCTGGACGAGCTGGGGGGAGTAAATCTCTCTCAGCTGTGCCCACCAGGTTTCGGAGTGCATCAGCAGGCCAGACAAGGGGGGCGGGGAGGAGGGGTCTCAGTAGTCTTTCGGCAATCCATCGCCGTGATCAGATGCGCTGTTCCGCAGGCACCTGGGTTTGAGTGTGTCCACCTGAAGGTGGGGAGCCGTGACAGTGTGGGGTTCCTGCTGGTGTACCGCCCACCCCGCGACCCAGCAGCTTCCCTGTCTGAGCTAGCGGAGGTGGTCTCTAATTCGGCCTTGGTCTCCCAGCGCCTGGTGGTGCTGGGAGACTTTAACATCCACGCTGAGACCACTCTATCTGGCGCAGCTCAGGACTTTATGGCCACCATGGCGACCATAGGACTGTCACAGATAATATCTGGCCCCACTCATCAAGCTGGACATACTCTCGACCTTGTTTTTGTGGCGGACAACGAAATGATCAGAGTGGAAGATCAAAACATCCTTCCAGTGTCATGGTCTGACCATCATCTGATCACTTTTAGACTTACTGCGACCCTAAACCTCTGCAGGGGTGGAGGACAAATTAAGATGGTCCGCCCTAGGAGACTGATGGATCCGGATGGATTCCTGAGGAATCTTAGGGTTCTTCCTGCCTTGGAGCCTGGCGATTCTATCGACGCCTTGGTAACTCTCTATAATGGGGAGATGTCCAGGGCGTTAGATACGATCGCACCTGAACGCCCCATCTCGTTGCGTCGTGACAGGCCATCTCCTTGGTTCACCGAGGAGCTGGCTGTGATGAAGCATACGAGAAGGGGGCTAGAGCGCAAATGGAGGAAATCTCGAGATGTATCTGATCGAGCACGGGCTAAAGCCTCCCTTAAGGCTTACTCTGTGGCTATACGGGTGGCCAGGAAATCATTCACAACCACCCGTATAGCATCTGCAGCAAATAGATCATCGGAGCTGTTCCGGGTCGTGGGAGAACTCCTCCACCCACCTGTGGCGGAGGAGGTCGCTGATGACCCTGCAGCTCGGTGTCGCGATTTCGCACACCATTTTGCAGGTAAAGTCGCCCAGATACGTCTTGAGCTCGACTCCAATTCCATCGCAGTGCCAGAAGAGGTGACGGAGGCACCTGCTTGTCCAATCTTGTGGGATTCTTTTAGGCTTGTTCTTCCTGAAACCGTTGAGGAGATTCTTGGGGCTGTGAGGGCGACCACCTCATCTCTAGACCCATGCCCATCTTGGCTCATTAAATCAGCCAGAGGGGGGTTGCTTGACTGGTTTGTACCAATTGTCAATGCATCGTTGGAGCAAGGAATTTTTCCATCTAATTTGAAACAGGCTGTGGTTCGCCCACTCCTCAAAAAAGCTTCCCTTGACTCCACGGTGCTGAGTAACTACAGACCGATCTCCAACCTCCCCTTTTTGGGTAAGGTGCTGGAGCGGGTGGTCGCCTCCCAGCTCCAGAGTTTCCTAGATGACACCAACTACCTAGATCAGTCACAGTCTGGTTTCAGGCCTGGTCATGGCACCGAGACAGCCTTGGTCGCCTTGGTGGATGACCTCCGCAGAGAGCTGGACAGGGGGAGTGTGACTCTGCTGGTTCTCTTGGACATCTCAGCGGCTTTCGATACCATCGATCATGGTATCCTTCTGGGAGCTCTCTGGGATGGGTCTCGGGGGCACGGTTCTGTCGTGGCTCCAGTCCTTCCTGGAGGGACGATCCCAGATGGTGAAGCTGGGAGACGCCTGCTTGACCCCTGGCCTTTGACCTGTGGGTCCCGCAAGGCTCCATTTTGTCTCCCATGCTTTTTAACATCTACATGAAACCACTGGGAGAGGTCATCCGGGGTTTTGGAGTTGGGTGCCATCTTTATGCGGATGAGACACAACTCTACTACTCCTTTCCACCTAATTCCAAGGAGGCCTCTCGGGTGCTGGACGAGTGCCTGGCCACTGTGTCGATCTGGATGAGGAGGAACAAGCTGAAGATCAATCCCGACAAGACAGAGGTCCTCCTGGTCAATCGTAAACCAGATCGGGGTATAGGGTGGCTACCTGTGTTGGACGGGGTTACACTCCCCCTGAAGCCACAGGTCCGCAGTTTGGGTGTCCTCTTGGATTCTTCGCTCACACTTGAGGCTCAGGTGTCGGTGGTATCCGGGAGGGCCTTTGCACAACTGAGACTTGTGCGCCAGTTGCAACCATACCTTGTGAAGTCTGACTTGGTCGGGGTGGTCCACGCCTTGGTTGCATCCAGATTGGACTACTGCAATGCACTCTATGTGGGGCTGCCCTTGAAGACAGGCCGGAAATTTCAACTGGTGCAACGGGCCGCAGCCAGGCTCTTAATTGGAGCAAATTATCAAGAGAGGTCTACCCCTCTGTTTAAGGAGCTCCACTGGCTGCCATTTATTTTCCGAGCCCAATTCAAGGTGCAGGTGCTCACCTACAAAGCCCTAAACGGTTTGGGACCACCCTACCTGCGTGACCGCATCTCCATCTACAAACCCACACGCTCGCTTCGATCATCTGGGGAGGCCCTGCTCGTGATCCCACCTATGTCGCAAGCGCGCTTGGTGGGGACACGGGACAGGGCCTTCTCCGTGGTGGCCCCCCGACTCTGGAACGCCCTTCCAAAAGATCTCCGACAGGCCCCTACATTAGCAGTTTTCAGAAGGAATTTGAAAACTTGGCTGTTCCGTTGTGCCTTCTCGGATTAGGAATCCCCATCCCAAGTCCTAGTAGCACTTTAGCACAATTAACATCGCTGCACACCACACTTTTAATTCCCTACGCCCCTCCTGCCATCTCAGCACTTTTAACCCTGTACCCCTTTACGCCGGCCGAACCAGTTTTAATATGTCTTGATGTATTGTTATTGCTGTTTTGCTTAACTGTTGATTTGCTTTGTTATTGCTATGTTATGTATATTGTGTTTGTGGCTTCGGCCTGTGTAAGCCGCATCGAGTCCTTCGGGAGATGCTCGCGGGGTACAAATAAAGTTAATAATAATAATAATAATACATTTGGGCATATTGAGTATTTGTGCCAAGTTTGGTCCAGATCCATCATTGCTTGAGTCCACAGTGCTCTCTGGATGTAACTGACCTACAACTCAAAAACTCAAGGTCAATGCCCACCAAACCCTTCCAGTATTTTCTGTTGGTCACGGGAGTTCTGTGTGCCAAGTTTGGTTCGATTCCATTGTTGGTAGAGTTCAGAATTCTCTTTGATTGTGGGTGAGCTGTAAATCCCAGCAACTACAACTCCCAAATGACAAAATCAATCCCCACCCCAAACCCACCAATATTCAAATGTGGGTATATTGGGTATTGGTGCCAAATTTGGTCCAATGAATGAAAATACATCCTGTATATTAGATATTTACATTATGATTTATAACAGTAACAAAATGACAGTTATGAAGTAGCAACAAAATAATTTTATGGTTGTGGGTTACCACAACATGAGGAACTGTATTAAGGGGTCAACGCATTAGGGAGGTGGAGAATCACTGGTGTAGATGAACCCACAGGTGGAAGGTTCAGGACCTTGGAGAGCTCCAGAAGTGGAAAATTGTGTGTGCTTGTTTTCGTAAAGAAAAAATATTTTCTCTGGTGGAAATGTCATTCTTATACAAAAATAAAATATCATAGCAGCTTTCCTACTGCCTTCTGAGAGGGGATATGATAGCCATGAATAAATATATGAGAGGAAGCCACAGGGAGGAGGGAGCAAGCTTGTTTTCTGCTTCCCTGGAGACTAGGACGCAATGGAACAATGGCTTCAAACTACAAGAAAGAAGATTCCACCTGAACATGAGGAAGAACTTCCTGACTGTGCAAGCCGTTCAGCAGTGGAACTCTCTGCCCCAGAGTGTGGTGGAGGCTCCTTCTTTGGAAGCTTTTAAACAGCTGCTGAATGGCCATCTGTCAGGGGTGATTTGAATGCAATATTCCTGCTTCTTGGCAGGGGGTTGGACTGGATGGCCCATGAGGTCTCTTCCAACTCTTTGATTCTATGATTCTATGATTCTATGATTCCTATGATGTCCAAAGAGCTCACACAATGAATTTCCAGGCCAAGGGGGTATCCTGGCTCTCCAGATTCCTATCATAGCACTCGAACAACGGAGTAAAGATGACTCTCCACAGCACAGTGTTGGAGTTCAGCCTGTGATTGTGATTAAGGATCAGGGTCCTTTGGATGTTGGGAATGATGACAATAAGGTTCATGTAGGAAATGGGGTTTCCAATGATGAGGTGGCTATTGATGCAGAGAATGGCCAGGAGATCCCTGTTCAAAGTGTACTTTCTGATGAGTATGTGTATGTTCAAAATGTATGTTCCTGAAGGGTTTGGGGATGATGGTGTCTTCCCTGCATTGCTACCAGAAAATTCCCATGGTTTGGAGCCTGAGAATAACTCAATACCTGGGCCAGCTGCAGAAATTAATGAACCAGTAGATAGACGGGATGTGAATATGCTCTAGGTTTTGGTCCAAATTGGAGCTGAGCTGTCAAAGGTGTTAACCCTATTCAAGGTTGAAGGTTCAGGACCTTGGAGAGCTCCAGAAGTTGAAATTGTGCTTGTTTTCGTAAAGAAAACAATCTTGGCTCTTCAGATTACTAGTCAGAAAAGGAAAGCTAACCAGTCGCTTAGGCATTCTGCCAGGCTAAAAGAAAGAATGATAAAGGATTCAAGGCTAAAACAAAACCCATTTCTGGCCGCCTAGGATATAGCATGATGAGGAGATTTATTTTATTTTATTTCGGGTACTTTTACCCTGCCCTTCTCAACCCCCGAGGGGGGACTCAGGGCGGCTTACAAAAAAGGCACGATTTGATGCCTATACAAATTACACATAATGTACAAAACACCATAGTTAAAACAATTATCACAATTAAAGTCCCAAGTCAGATGAAGCATCGTTTGGAATCAAGTCAATTTGTTTATTTATTTATTTATTTATTTACTTCATTTGTATGCTGCTCTCTCTCAGCCCGTAGGTGACTCGGAGCGGTTTACAACCAAATCAGTATACAAAGTGCACAACATTAGCATTTAAAACAGTAACCATGGCAACTACATCAATATAACAATACATCAATATAACATCAAGTCAAGACGTCTTTGCTATTCTTGGAAACCTTGCTTTGGGTAGATTCATGTGTTAAGTACCTTTTATTCATGTTTCCAGTTCTTGGATTTTACTATAGAAGTTCTTGCCTTTGTTTTTCATGAACTTTCTTGGGATATTTGCCCCGGCTTATCTTTCTACCTAATTGGATTTTAAAGTGTTTTTTGTTTTGTTTTTTACTATTGCTGCTTTTTAAATATCTTCAATAAATGGATTGCATTTCTACCCAGTTGTGTGGTGTTTAAAGTCAGAGGGCTTCCCTGGAATGCAACACACAGTACTCTTTTCATGTTATCTAAAGCAAACTAGGAGCCCCCAGTAGTGCAGAGGGTTAAACGCTGTCAGGTTTTACAATGTATTGTAATGTAATATAGCTGAGTCATGCACTGCTAATAGGCTTCTATTGGAAATGCTGAGTCATGCATTAACTGTATATAGGACATCATTTGGGGAATGTGTTCTGGTCTAGTCCAGGTGAGTGTGAATGATGCAATCCTGGGTTTGAGTTAAGTCAATGAGTTGGGAACCAATCAGAGATTGCTATGTGTAAATATACAGAATTGTATATAAGGAAGTCATGTACAGTGTATTCTCTCTCTCCTTGTGCTGTGATGCTGTTTGCCGAAGGCTCTGTGTAACTGATTAAAAGAACCTGTCTGCTAAGACAAGATATAACCGTGTGTTGTGGTAAGTTTGTAGTGTCAACTAGAGTGGGGGGGGGGGGGCGGACAATGGTAAAACTGACAATAGCCGGGCATGTGCTCAAGTGTCTGTAATGAGTTCCAGAGTGACTGCAGTCTGTGAGAGCAGTTGACTGAAAATACTGTGCAGGAAGAAGCTACTGGAAAGCGCTGAAGTTGTGCAACTGATCTGCTGCTGAATTGTGAGATAAAACACGACAAACGCTGAGCTGCTGAACTTGCTGACTGAAAGATCACCAGTTCAAATCCAGGGAGCAGGTTGAACTCCTGCTGTTAGCCCCAGCTTCTGCCAACCTAGTAGTTGGAAAACATGCAAATGTGATTAGATCGATAGATACCACTCCATCAGGAAGGTAATGGTGCTCCAAGCAGTCATGCCAGCCACATGACCTTGGAGGTGTCTGCAGACAATGCCAATCCTTCACCTAAGTAATGGAGATGATCACCAATGCCCAGAGTCAGACACAACTGGACTCAATGTCGGGGGAAAACCTTTACCTTACCTTAAAGCAAACTAAAGCTTACCTTCCCCAGCAAGTCTTTTGGGAAGAACTGGAAAGGTGAGGGCAGGTGTTGTCCGGAAATGAGCAGAGGGAGCGGGTTGTTAGTCACAATCAGGGTGGTCTTGTCTTGATTGAACTCCGAGGATCTCAACATGAGGGCGATCTCTCCTCGGTGCCGCTCCAGGCGTTCCCGGAATTCAGCATCGGTCACCGGGACAAAATACTGAGTCTGGAAGAAAGGGAGACAGCAAAGGACAGGAGCAAAGGGGACGTGGTAGATCGATATAAGAAGCAGCACCACTCTGGATAAGGCTGCTTGGCCCAGCTTTCTCTTCATACCATGTCCAGTCAGAAAGCCCAACTGTGCACACGGGTTTAACTCAAGCATGGGAAAATTTGGCCCTCTATCTTGAATCAATGGCTTCCTCCTCCTTCAGGTTCCAATCCTCTTTTACAGCCAAGTTGGCAGCCATAATAATAATAATCATCATCATCATCATCATCATCATCATCATCTTTATTTCTACCCCACCACCATCTCCCCAATGGGGACTCGGTGCGGCTTACATGGGGCCAAGCCCGGACAACATAATACAGCAATAAAATCAACACATATACAGCAAACAACAACATAGAATCATAGAATCAAAGAGTTGGAAGAGACCTCATGGGCCATCCAGTCCAACCCCATTCTGCCAAGAAGCAGGAATATTGCATTCAAATCACCCCTGACAGATGGCCATCCAGCCTCTGTTTAAAAGCTTCCAAAGAAGGAGCCTCCACCACACTCTGGGGCAGAGAGTTCCACTGCTGAACAGCTCTCACAGTCAGGAAGTTCTTCCTCATGTTCAGAATCTCCTCTCTTGTAGTTTGAAGCCATTGTTTCTAGTCTCCAGGGAAGCAGAAAACAAGCTTGCTCCCTCCTCCCTGTGGCTTCCTCTCACATATTTATACATGGCTATCATATCTCCTCTCATCCTTCTCTTCTTCAGGCTAAACATGCCCAGCTCCTTAAGCCGCTCCTTATAGGGCTTGTTCTCGAAACCCTTGATCATTTTAGTCGCCCTCCTCTGGACACATTCCAGCTTGTCAATATCTCTCTTGAATTGTGGTGCCCAGAATTGGACACAATATTCCAGGTGTGGTCTAACCAAAGCAGAATAGAGCATGGGGAGCATGACTTCCCTAGATAGACACTATGCTCCTCTTGATGCAGGCCAAAATCCCATTGGCTTTTTTTGCCGCCACATCACATTGTTGGCTCATGTTTAACTTGTTGTCCACGAGGACTCCAAGATCTTTTTCACACGTCTTGCTCTCGAGCCAGGCGTCCCCCATTCTGTATCTTTGCATTTCATTTTTTCTGCCTAAGTGGAGTATCCTGCATTTGTCCCTGTTGAACTTCATTTTGTTAGTTTTGGCCCATCTCTCTAATCTGTCAAGATCATTTTGAATCCTGCTCCTGTCCTCTGGAGTCTTGGCTATCCCTCCCATACCCCTACCATGTCCCCCCCCCCCAACTAGCCTTTGTTTTTCTGACCTAAACAGACCCCAGAGTGACCATTGCCTGACAATGGGTTATTTCAATTGGAAGAAGGGTTTTGAAATTTGGAATTGAGCAGACTTGGTTTCCAAAAGGAAAAGCTGCTGTTTACAGAATTCTTACCTAAAGTCCCAAAATATTGCGACTCTCAGGAATGTGGTTTTTAGATGTTCCCCAGAAATCTGTCAGTTCCAATCATGCTCTCAACCTATTGTCATGAAAGAGAACTTAAGTACTCTGGTTTCCTGCCTTTCCGACTCTTGTTGGTGAGGAAAACAGAGACAGCTTATGTGTTTTTCCTTGTGCCCCAAACACTTACAATTGTCTGTGAGGCCTCTCCAGTCTACTGGCCAACAGCATCCTGTCTTCTGCATTAACAATTGTGATGGTGGCATGTAATGACATAAAGCAGCAACAAGTGGCATTGCAATGCAAAGGGGAACCAATCAAAGCTTGGAAAATTTGTCTTTTGTACTAAGACAGGACATGTGGAAGGAATCTAGGAGCTGTGTATATTTGGCTCGTAGAAGACAAAATTAAGAGGAGGCATGAGAGCATGAGACGCTAGACATTGAGCAACAGATTCCAACTACAAGAAGAGAGATTCCAACTAAACATTAGGAAGAACTTCCTGGTTGTGAGGGCTGTTCATGGTGGAATATCACTATAGACCAATCTCCCTGTTGTGCCACCTTTACAAAGTTCTGGAAAGACTTATTTTGCATAGAATTTTGGAAAAAATAGACCCATGTCTGATCCCCCAACAAGCTGGCTTCAGGAAAGGCAAAAGCTGCACATCGCAAGAGCTGAACCTGACTCAGCACATAGAAGATGGCTTTGAAAGGCAGCAGATCACAGGAGCTGTCTTCATAGATATGATACTGCGAACCACCGCCTCCTCCTGAGAAAAATGTATAATATCACAAAGGACGACCACCTCACCCGCCTCATAGGAAACCTGCTACAAAACAGCTTTTTTGTTGAGTTTCAGGGCCAGAGAAGCAGATGGTGGAAACAGAAGAACGGCCTGCCTCAGGGGAGCGTGTTCACTCCATCCATGTTCAACATCTACACAAATGACCAGCCACTGCCAGAAGGGACAGAGAGCTTCATCTATGCTGATGATCGTGCCATTACCGCTCAAGCACGGAGCTTTGAGGTGGTTGAACAGAAGCTCTCTGAAGCTCTAGGTGCTCTTACTGCCTATTACAGGGAAAACCAGCTGATCCCTAATCCATCTAAAACACAGACGTGCTTTCCATCTCAAGAACAGACAAGCATCCCGAGCTCTGAGGGTCACTTGGGAAGGAATCCCACTGGAGCATTGCAGCACACCCAAATACCTGGGAGTTACTCTGGACTGTGCTCTGACCTACAAGAAGCACTGCCTGAATATCAAACAAAAAGTGGGTGCTAGAAACAATATCATACGAAAGCTGACTGGCACAACCTGGGGATCACAACCAGACACAGTGAAGATATCCGCCCTTGCGCTATGCTACTCTGCTGCTGAGTATGCATGCCCAGTGTGGAGTACATCTCACCACACTAAAACAGTGGATGTGGCTCTTAATAAGACATGTCGCATTATCACGGGGTGTCTGCACCCTACACCACTGGAGAAATTACACTGCTTAGCCGGTATTGCACCACCTGACATCCGCCGGGAAATAGCAGCCAATAGTGAAAGGACCAAGGCAGAGACATCTCCAGCTCATCCCTTGTTTGGGTATTAGCCAACACGTCAACGACTTAAATCAAGAAATAATTTTCTAAGATCTACAGAGACACTCGATGGAACAACTCAGCAAGCAAGAGTCCAAAAGTGGCAGGCTCAAACCCAGGGCCTCAATCAATGGCTGATACCAAATGAGAGACTCCCCCCTGGGCACACAGAGGACTGGGTGACTTGGAAGGCGTTGAACAGACTGCGCTCTGGTACCACGAGATGCAGAGCCAACCTTCAGAAATGGGGTTACAAAGTGGAATCCACGACATGCGAGTGTGGAGAAGAGCAAACCACTGACCACCTGCTGCAATGCAACCTGAGCCCTGCCACATGCACAAGGGAGGACCTTCTTGCGGCAACACCAGAGGCACTCCAAGTGGCCAGATACTGGTCAAAGGACATTTAATCAACTACCAAGCTTGCAAACTCTGTCTTTTGTATGTTTGTTTGTTTGTTTGTTTGTTCTGTCAAAAATGTAATACAACTGTTCAGTTGCCTGACACAATAAATAAATAAATGGTGGAATATGTAGTATTTTGGAATATAATTGTGCATGTGACATTAGTAGGACTAAATAGAGCAAGTTTTTTTTATTAAAATGACTTACATTATTATTTATTCAGGTTTATCTGCAGTTATTTGAGTTCCGGTTAACTAAGAGTCTCAAACACACAATTCAGCAGAAGAGAACTACCCGATTTCATTGACTACATCTTATGAATTAATTCTTTCTTTCCTTTGTTATCTGAGTTAGAGAAAGAGGGGGAAAAAGTGACTTTTGCTCACCAGGTTCGGATGGTGCGAGTAATACGCCTCCCGCTTCAAACAGAAATTAGTGTTCATCGTGTACAAAATCCTCCTGGAAAGAAAGAAAAAAGAATAACACAACAAAATGAACAATAGAAACCTAAGCAGGCTGTTGTAGGTTTTTCGGGCTATATGTCCATGTTTTAGAAGCATTCTCTCCTGACGTTTCGCCTGCATCTATGGCAAGCATCCTCACAACCTGAGGATGCTTGCCATAGATGCAGGCGAAACATCAGGAGAGAATGCTTCTAGAACATGGCCATATAGCCCTACAAAAACCCAGTGATTCCAGCCATGAAAGCCTTCGACAACCTAGCAGGCTGTTATGGATTTTATGCATTTCTTTTATTGTTGCTGATTGATAAGTAGACAGCTAGAATAGAATTTCCCAACACTACATGGTTTGATACTCCTCTGATGGTAAGATTTTTGGAGCATGTAAGGAATCAGTGTGTGTGTGTGTTTGTCAATTGTAAAATTAGATGCATGAAGCTGATTAGTTGGGCTATGCCCAGGGAGCAGGCTGAGCCTGGGACTTTTGGATACTGTTACATATTTGTTCATACTTCAGCTATGCAGGTGCTTGGAGCAACAGAGAGAGAAGCAGAGAGGGAAAGAGAGTTTGGAGTGTGCTCTTGCTTCACGAGCCTGGGACTTTTGGATACTGTTACATATTTGTTCATACTTCAGCTATGCAGGTGCTTGGAGCAACAGAGAGAGAAGCAGAGAGGGAAAGAGAGTTTGGAGTGTGCTCTTGCTTCACGAGCCTGGGACTTTTGGATACTGTTACATATTTGTTCATACTTCAGCTATGCAGGTGCTTGGAGCAACAGAGAGAGAAGCAGAGAGGGAAAGAGAGTTTGGAGTGTGCTCTTGCTTCATGAGCCTGGGACTTTTGGATACTGTTACATATTTGTTCATACTTCAGCTATGCAGGTGCTTGGAGCAACAGAGAGAGAAGCAGAGAGGGAAAGAGAGTTTGGAGTGTGCTCTTGCTTCACGAGCCTGGGACTTTTGGATACTGTTACATATTTGTTCATACTTCAGCTATGCAGGTGCTTGGAGCAACAGAGAGAGAAGCAGAGAGAAAAAGAGAGTTTGGAATGTGCTCTTGCTTCATGAGCCTGGGACTTTTGGATACTGTTACATATTTGTTCAAGCTTCAGCTATGCAGGTACCTTGAGCAACAGAGAGAGAAGCAGAGAGAAAAATAGAGTTTGGAGTGTGCTCTTGCTTCATGAGCTGCTGAAGGAGTTTATCTCATGGACAAAGAAAGACCATTTTAAATATCTCATAAAATGACATTATGTGAGTTGCTACAACTGACCACATGATTGTACATATGTCATTCTGAACTACGAAGAGTAAACTACTTGTTCTTCTGCGTGGCGTATTTTCTTTCTCTGGCAAGGCAGTGGACTGATCAAAAGTGAACTACACATGGTTTATTTTACATTACACCACAAGTTTTTACACTAAAAATGTGTTTTTTTGTTACATAAAACAATAACTTCCCCAAAGATTTCTCAAAGTAAAAGAAAAAAAATGCCACTGCGCTTTGCTTCTTGGCAGAAGCTCTAAGACATAAACAGTCTAGTCAAGAGAGAAATAGTCACAAATCCCTCTCCTGGAAGCAAAATAAATTCTAAGAATCTGCACCCCGTTTGAAAAAAATCTAAATTCTAAGAATCTCAACTCCTTCATAAACTCATAGGAACCTATGGGGATTAAACAGTACTGTGTGGGTTAGGTTGAAATACAACTGAAATATAAGAAATGCATTTTGAAACACACAACCCCCTCCAGCAGCATGCCCCGTATCCTTCCCCAAAGGCCTGTGGGCAGAGAAAAGCCTTGACCTGCCTGCAAAATGACCACAATCTCCAGTATCTGTTGGGGAAAATATCTGCAAAGGAAATAAACTAATTTGACCCAAAAATCTTGAGATTGTCCAGTGAGCCCATCAAATAAGAAAACATGGCAACTGATGCCTCGTCCTTTTGGGCAACTAATTCTGCTGTTTCTCATCAAAAAGAGGTGGGTTGGTTGGTAGTTTGATCACAATGCACATGATGGTTACCTGGTAGTCTGGAATTATACACCATCCCATTGTTCTTGGGTTTGTGACAGCATCTCAGAGCTTAGTGCAGTGTTTCTCAACCTGGGGGTCGAGACCCCCAGGGGGGTTGCAAGGGGGTGTCAGAGGAGTCGCCAAAGACCATCAGAAAACAGTATTTTCTGTTGGTCATGGGAGTTCTGTGTGAAAAGTTTGGACTAATTCTACCTTTGGTGGGGTCCAGAATGCACTTTGATTGTAGGTGAACTGTAAATCCCAACTACTACAGCTCCCAAATGTCAAGGTCTATTTTCCCTAAACTCCACTAGTGTTTACATTTGGGCATATTGAATATTCATGCCAGGTTAGGTCCAGATCCATCATTGTTTGAGTCCACAGTGCTCTCTGGTTGCAAGTGAACTACAACTCCAAAATTCAAGGTCAATGCCCACCAAATCCTTCCAGTATTTTCCATTGGTCATGGGAGTTCTGTGTGCCAAGTTTGGTTCAATTTCATCATTGGTGGAGTTCAGAATGCTATTTGATTGTAGGTTAACTATAAATCTCTGCAACTACAACTCCCAAATGACAAAATCAACCCCTCCAACCCTACCAGTAGTCAAATTTGGGCATATTGGGTATTTGTGCCAAGTTTAGTCCAGTGAATGAAAATACATCCTGCAGATCAGATACTTACATTACGATTCATAACAGTAGCAAAATTGCAATTATGAAGTAGCAACGAAAATAATTTGATGGTTGGGGGTCACCACAACATGAGGAACTGTAATAAGGGGTCGCGGCATTAGGAAGGTTGAGAAACACTGGCTTAGTGTCTCCACACTATAGTTATGGCACTTGCGTTGAGTGAATTCAGCAACTAAAAGCACTGAGGAATTCAGAAGCCTGATATCTAGCTATTTCAGAAGACCAAATCAGACATAGACAAGTAGAAGGCAAAAGCAGAGGTTTATTCTCAATGGGCAGAGAGGATGTCAGCGGAGAAAGCACTCCAAAGTACTCGCATACTGCAATTGAAAATATAGAGAATTTTTATTTCATTTGACATCCATTCAAGAAAACCAAGCTAGCTCTTGACGGGTTGGAAAATAGTCTGGCTAGGAACTGCATCCAGTTGAATAGCCTTGCAGCTTCAAAGCCTGGCTGCTTCCTGCCCGGAAGGCAGTAAATACAGAGCAAGACTCAAAAAAACAGGGGAATTCCTGACAGGAAACAATCAGGTCCAGCTAACACCTCCCAACAAAAGATTTCCACAGGCAGGACACAGGCAGTCTTTGAAACTGAAAGGCCATTAAATGCTAATCAAGGTGGTCAATTGCAACAGTCACACCTGCCTCAAACAGACAAGCGTTCTTTCTCCCACCCTGGGTATTATTCTATAGATATATAAACCCCATTTTCCTAGTTTCCAACAGACCTCACAATCTCTGAGGATGCCTGCCACAGATGTGGGTGAAACGTCAGGAGAGAATGCTTCTGGAACATGGCGATACAGCCTGGAAAACTCACAGCAACCCAAGGTATTTAGTCTTCTCTGCCAAAGGCTGATGGTTCCTCACCAAACTACAGCTCCTATGATTCCATAGCATTGAGCTGTGGCAGTTAAAATGGTGTTAAACTGCATCAGTTACGCAGTGTAGATGCACCCTAGGTCTAGTCTATGAACAACAAGGTGGTTTTGTTTTTGGGGAACACTGGAGAAATTACACTGTTTAGCCGGTATTGCACCACCTGACACAACAAGATGACTCCACAGCAGACACTCTGCTGGCTGTTGTATTGGATCACACGTTGGACACTTCCCAAGTGTCTAGGACTGTGTGATGTATCGAATAATGCATGCACATCCCAGTAAGGTGGCCTTCTGCAATTGACAGATAATAATTTTGTCAGTGCTGATTGTGTTTAAGTGCAGGCCAAGGTCTTTAGGCACTGCACCCAGTGTGCCGATCACCACTGGGACCACATTATTATTATTATTATTATTATTATTATTATTATTATTATTATGGATATTAAGAAACAACTTAAACATATGCATTGCTAGGAGACATAGATGGGGAGACATAGTACATGCCAAGTGTATGTCTCCACCCATGACTGAATCACTGTTGTTAAATTACCTGGAGATGCAGAGAATAAATCCCACCAGCCCTCTGTGGCTGGGTCACCTCATTCATGGGAGCAACGGGACATCGCAACTGGTTGCAAAACTTCTGGAGGTAGGAGGTTGAAACCTCTGTCCACTTCTATCGCCATCCTCATTGCCAGTGGATATCAGAGCGACCTGAGAAATAGCTTATGGCAGCACCATCCCTGGACGGTTATCTGTTCCAGGGAGTAAAATTCTAGAATGAACGTTGACAGGTGACCGTTAAACTGTTACAGGAAGCCCAGCAATATTCTGTGGACAGAACAGGAATCTCTTCTGTTGGCTAAGAATGTGGAGAAAGGGACAATTTGGCACAATGGTGCAGCTTCTCCCAGCATCACCAGCAGAAAAGCTGCACCCTTGAACATAGCGATACAGCCATTCCACCAAGGTTGGCTTGTCATTCCCATGTCAGTGGAGCAATGCAGACTGAATTCTAGACTTGGAAGGGACTCCAAAGGCCATTCAGTCCAACCTGCACCATCCAAGCTGTCCTGACAGCTGTCCTTGATCCTAGTCTGCATCAAGAAGGGTGATTGCATCCAAATCAAGGAAAGGAACAGTCTCACGCTATTTTGCTTTGGCCAGATCTCACCTGGAATAATAGCACTCTGTCCAGTTCTGGGCAAAGCAATTCAAGAAGGAGAGGGAAGGTGTCCAAAGGAGGGTGACTAAAAGGATCAAAGGTCTGGAGACCATGAATCCCTCTGAGGAACGTCTTAAAGAACTGGGCATGGTTAGCCTGCAGAAGAGAAGGTTGAGAGGAGACATGAGAGCCATGTATACATATGTGAAAGGATGTCATAAGGAAGAGCCAGCAGGC